AAAAACACTAAAATTCTTGGTTTAAAAATTATTTTGGCACCCAAGCATTCTTGGTGCCGGATTGTTCAGGGACATGACCCCTATCAATAAAGCTCAAAGCCCTAGGGTTATGAACCCTCTTAGGCGCATATGGTGCACTAACATGGTCAAAACAATATTTATTCAAATGACCCTTCCGATTGCAATTTGTGCAATGAAAGAGATCCATTTGTTTTTGTGGACCATTAGCTCGTGCACGGGAATCATTTGCAAATAAAGATTTTCTTTTAAAATTATTTTGCAAATGAGAAACATTCTTAAACAATGGTCTATTTGGAACATATTGCAATTTAGAAGCTTTTTGTATATCAAAACAAAATTTAGCAAGATGTCCAAACCTACCACAAACATCACATTTAAAAACATGTGGTCTATTGGAAGCATTTGTCAAATGAGATTTTCTTTTCAAATCAAAGCAATATTTGGCCAAATGACCAAAACGACCACAATAATCACACTTGAACACACTAGCATGCTTATGATGAACTTTGTGAGAATGAGCATGTGAATGTGTAAGTGTACAAGATGAAGAAGCTATATGAGATGCACAAGGAACATTAGAATTCTTATGTTTGTGTGCATCATAACAAAACTTAGCTAAATGACCTTGACGGCCGCAAATAGAACACTTATAAGTTTTGCTATACATGTGTGCATAATGAGTAGATGATTTTGATTTAGTCTTGGCACACATGTCCATAAGCCTCTTATGATTATTAATGCATATTTTCAAAGTTGAATCTAAAGATGAAATACTATTTTTCATAAGATTCAAATCTTCATTTTTAGGCACATATGCATTTTTAGAAGTAGAACATAAATAGTTATTTATAAAAGAAGCTGTATCATTCTTTATGTTCTCTACTTCTAACATGGCATCAATCTTAGCATGAGATAAGCTAGAAATGGATGATGATAATTTCTCATTTTCCAATTTTAACATATCATTACTTTCTTTAAGAGCAACATTTTCTTTGGAAATGATATCAAAATTGGAAGCTAGCTTCTCATGATCGGATTTTAAAACATCATGCTTGCTTTTTAAATCATTAAAATCATTTTGCAATTTGTTAAAGGCATGCAATAATTTTTCACTAGCACACGCAAGTTCATCACTAGATAAATCATTAGTTGTTTCGAACTCGCAAACCTCACTAGGGCTATCGCCTAGTGGCCGTGTGCATGATGCTCCACATGAACTTGAAGTGATCACGGAGTTCGGACCTTCCGTCCTACGTCTTCGCTCCCCACTCCCGGGGAGAAATCCACTATCACAATCCGGTTTGGAAGCCGGAACTTCTACACACTCGGTTTTCTAGCTAACCGAAAACTCAACAACTCACACTCTTGCAAACCCACTCTACACCCTCACAAGTGTTGGACCTAGCCGTATCTCCCTCAAGTGCTCGGTTACAACCTTTCCCTAGGTTCGTCAACCGACGCCACTCCTCTTGGGACGATCCCCGACTCTCACCACACACTCCTCTCGGTGTACACGTGTATTACAAAGTGATCTCACGATTAAGCACAATACAAAGTATCTCACAATAAGCACAATATAAATCAAATGATTGTTCTCTAAACAAGATGAGAACTCAATTAAGCACAACTCTTAGTCACAAACCCACAACCCCAAATTATACTATGTATGTAAATACAATAAGCTCAATGATTGTGTGTGTAAACAAAGAGTAAATCAAATCAAAACTAAACTCAATGTAGTTCTAGCTTAATAACAATGATAATCAAATATATAAAAAAAGCTAGAAATAGAGTTTAGAAAACTTCTCAATAGATCAAGAGTTGGAGGGAGAATAGTTGAATGCCCAAACACCAATAGATGATCTCCTCAAGCTCTTGTGAAATTGATTTCTCAAAAACAAACTCTCAAATGCTTAAAAGCTTTTTAAACAAACTTAAACCAAACATAAACCCTTGTTAAAACTTTCTTAAACTTGTTTTAAAACTCTCATTTGGTTAGTTGGAGAGCTGAAGGCAATGGGGTATTTATACCCTCTCAAAACTCAGCTAAAACTCCCAAAACAAAAGACCAAAAACACCCCAACAACGGTAACAAAAATAGCCGTTGGAAGCAGTGAGAACGAGCGATGGTCGACCAAAGAAATTCGCGGTCGACCGACAGAAACGATCGGTCGACCGACGGAAATTTTGGTCGACCGCTATCCAGGTCAAACACGAGAAAAACACCAGCTGACTTATCCGGTCGACCGGTGCGGTCGACCGAAGGAAGCTCTCGGTCGACCGCGACGGTCGACCGATGAACTCTCTGTCGCCCAGTGAACACGAGAAGTCAGGTTCGGTCGACCGGTTCGGTCGATCGAAAACTGACATACTCAAAACCTGATTTTAAAAGAGAATTTTTACTTTTGGAAAATTATTAAAAATAACAAATAAAGTCCAAAAATTATGAAACTTTGGGAAATGTATATAAACATGAAAACAAATATGTTACAAAAAGAATTTTCCAAATTGCATTTCCCATTTGTGAAAAATCATCATTTTTCAAAATAGTCCAAAACATGAAAATATGAGATACTTGAATTTTGATGTTTTGACATAAACCAACTTTTGAAACTTTGTGAAATATTTTTATAGACTTAGTAAAACATGTATAAACTGATATTGAAGTCTACAAACTAAGAATACAAAATTTTCACAAATACAATAGAAAATGAAACCTATGAGTATGTATATGAAAATATATTTGTTTCATATCTATGTAGATAAACCAAATCACAATAATAAATATGAAACATGTAATTTCATATTTATAAACATGAAAACCAAAACTTGTGTTGTATATATATGTGATTACATATATATACAAGGAAACTAATAAAATGTGTGTGTATAGATAATTGAGCTTAGAGTACTTAACACTGAATAGCAAGGCTTCAACCCGAAATTCCGCCAACCTCCATTGGATATCATCGTTGAAGCTCTATTCCATCCATCCTCCAACACCTTGTTTGCCTAGAATAAATACGAAAACACAAACACTAGACAAACAACATTAGAAGTAAATTGTTTGTTAAACATCATTAAAACAAGAAGGCCAACAGATCCGCTAGCGGAAGACGCCCTCATTCAGATTCGTAAAGCCATTAGGGCCCCTTACATCCTGATATGTCTCGTCGTACCCGCCACCCTCAAAATTAGGAAAGTAACGGAAAACATGGTAGTTGAGGCCTCTTGATAAGATTTGTCAGACCAAAATCATGTACCAGCCCTCCCACTTAGCCGCCTCAAGCCACCGAACAAAAGGATTAAAAGCTCCACTACATGGAGAGGTTGCCGTCATCAGCGAGGGGCGGTGTAAGACAAACCACTTTGGGAAATGTATATAAACATGAAAACAAATATGTTACAAAAAGAATTTTCCAAATTGCATTTCCCATTTGTGAAAAATCATCATTTTTCAAAATAGTCCAAAACATGAAAATATGAGATACTTGAATTTTGATGTTTTGACATAAACCAACTTTTGAAACTTTGTGAAATATTTTTATAGACTTAGTAAAACATGTATAAACTGATATTGAAGTCTACAAACTAAGAATACAAAATTTTCACAAATACAATAGAAAATGAAACCTATGAGTATGTATATGAAAATATATTTGTTTCATATCTAAGTAGATAAACCAAATCACAATATGAAACATATAATTTCATATTTATAAACATGAAAACTAAAACTTGTGTTGTATATATATGTGACTACATATATATACAAGGAAACCAATAAAATGTGTGTGTGTAGATAATTGAGCTTAAGGTACTAACACACATAATATAAACTCCTAAACTAAATTACCCAAGCTTGATCTTGATCTTCATTGAGCTCAACTTGGTACACGTGCGGATGAAGCTTGAACTTGATCTTTAACTATGAATAGCAAGGCTTCAACCCGAAATTCCGCCAACCTCCATTGGATATCATCGTTGAAGCTCTATTCCATCCATCCTCCAACACCTTGTTTGCCTAGAATAAATACGAAAACACAAACACTAGACAAACAACATTAGAAGTAAATTGTTTGTTAAACATCATTAAAACAAGAAGGCCAACAGATCCTACTAAGGTGGAGGCAGTACTAGATTGGGACACGCCGAAGACCATTTTAGAGATTCGTAGTTTCTTAGGTTTGACCAGCTATTACAGAAAATTCATTTAGGACTTTTCGAAGATTGTGATGCCACTTACACGCCTTATGAAAAAGGGTGTACAGTTTGTTTGGGGCACGGAGTGCCAGGGGGTCTTTGAAACTTTGAAGGCTAAGTTGACTTTAGCGTCGATGTTGACCATTTCGAACTGTGATAGGACCTTTCTTATCTACACTGATGTGTCATTATCGGGTCATGGAGGTGTTTTGATGCAGACCCAGAGAGTGGTAGCCTACATTTCGAGACAGTTGAGGACTCATGAGCAGAATTATCCTACGCATAATTTGGAGTTAGCAGCAGTGGTTTTTGCATTGAAGACTTGGAGACATTATCTGTATGGTGTGCAATTTGAGCTTTTCACGGATCACCAGAGTCTGAAGTACCTTTTCTCCCAGAAGAAACTCAACTAGAGGTAGCAACGATGGGTCAATCTTATTAAAGATTATGAGTTCGCGATTTAATACCATCTGTGGAAGGCGAACGTGGTAGCAGACATACTGAGTAGGAAGCATCATTGTGGACTTACAACTTTGAGGTGTTCATTACATCGAGATGTTTGCACCCTCAGTCAGTTTGCCTTTAGCCCGGAGATTGGCGGGAGCAGCGTATTTTGGGGAGCTATGTCAGTACAGCCATCTTGAAGTGACAGAGTAGTCAGAGCTCAGGTAGAGGATTCTTAGATTCAAACCCGAAAGAGGAAGATTTCCAAAGAGCCCAAGGCTAATTGGACCGTTGGAGCAGATGGAGACCTTCGAATGAAGGGACGATTAGTGATGACTGGAAGTTCACAGCTGAAGAAGGACTTATTCGATGAGGTGCATCGTACCTGGTATACAGTACATCCAGGCACACCAAAAATGTACGAGGACCTGAAGATACACTTTTGGTGGAATGGCATGCGTAGGGAGATTGTGGAGTATGTGGCCAAGTTCTTTACCTACCGGCAAGTGAAGGCAAAACATCAGAAACCAGCAAGAACCCTACAGCCTTTCCCATTCTAGAATGGAAATGGGTGGATATTTCTATGGGCTTCATTGCAGGATTGCCGAGATTAAAGAGGTGGAATGATTCCATTTGTGTGATAGTTGATCGGCTAACGAAGTTAGCACATTTAATTCCGATGAAGACGACTTATGCGGCAGAGACTTACGCGTGGATATTCATTCAGGAGATAGTGAGATTGTATGGAGTTCCAGAGACTCAAACCGAGGCTTAGTTTTCACTTCACATTTCTAGAGGAGCTTCAAGAACTCTTTCGGTAGCCAGTTATCGTATTCTAGTATCTTCCACCAGCAGACAGATGGACAAATAGAGAGAGTCAACCAAACGTTGGAGGATATATTGTGGGCATGTGTCATAGATTTTTAGGGCAGTTAGGACGACCATATTCCACTGATCGATTTCACTTATAACAACAGTTACCAAGCGACTATTGGTATGGCACTATATGAGACGTTGTATGGGAGGCCTTGTAGATCACCTATTTGTTGGGCAGAACCAGATGATAGCTTACTACTTAGGCCGAAGCTTGTAAGACAGACCACAGAGAAGGTAACAATAATTCGGGAGCGCATTCTTGCAGTGCAGAGTTATCAGAAGAGTTATGCAGATTAGAGATGATGACCGCTAGAGTTCCAGGTTAAGGACAATGTCTTGTTGAAAGTATCACCAATGAAGGGAGTTCAGCGATTTTGTAGACGGAGGAAACTTGACCCGAGGTATATTGGTCTATTTAGGATAGTGGAGCGCATTAGAACCGTTTCATATCGGTTAGATCTTCCAGCATTGATGTCGAGTATACACGATGTTTTTCATGTTTTGATGTTTAAGAAGCATCTACGCGAAGAGGGATAGCAGCAAGTGCTAGACGTGCCAGAGATTGAAATTCATGATGATTTGACTACTATGGAAATTCATGTATGTATTCTTGCCAAGGAGAACAAGAGACTTAGAAACAAAGTGATACCTCTAGTCAAAGTTCAATGGAACCGGAAAGGAGCTGAGGAGACTTCTTGGGAGCGCGAGGAGGATATGCGTCGTGACTTCCCGTACCTATTTGAGTAGGTAAATTGATTGATTGATTATGATTTACTCTTCTTTATGATTTATTTATATGGTCATATTTATATTTAATGCTAGAATGGTATTAACACTTAGCTCCTAATCATTTGGAACACATGATATATATATAAGGGAGTCCTTGTTTGAATTTTTCACCCGATGTACTAGTTCTGTTTAGTTAGGAGTTAAGTGGAAGTATCCACATTCGATATGGTTAAGTGTAGATATTGCTATGTTTCATATCTGGGGATTAATGGTACGAGATGTGTACGAGAGGGTTTCCTTGTCTGGATTATCCCCTCTTAGTGCTTTTCTCATATTATTAATCCCTAAGATACGATTGCACAATTTCGAGGACAAAATTCTTTTAAGTGGGAAAGAATATAAAACCTCGTGACTTTGAATATTATGTGATAAATAATAATAAAATATGCTATATGGTGATAAATAACATATTTTGATGTTTGAGTACGCCAGAAATTGATTTGAGATCAATTCAATGTATATATGTGAGGGGAGGAGAGAAACATGCACGAAAAATGCACGAAATCAGAAAAAAATATGTGATAAATCCCTGATAAGTAGACTTATGAGTCGACTTACTATAAGTCGACTTGTCAGAGTCCTGAGTCGACTTACGAGCTGTTTTTAGATATTTTTCAGGTTTTGGGTAGTATTTGTTTTATTTCGATCCCAGGCTTAAATATACTCTTTTAAACTTGTTTTTGCTACACTTTTTCATGAGAATACTAATATTTGAGTTTTTGGGAAAGTTTGGTGAAGAATTCATCGAGAGGAAGGCGAGATATGTGTTTATGATAATATCAAGATCATGATCACTAGGGTTTCATGTATTTTCATTTTTTAAATCTTTTAAACATGCATAACTCATGTGTTAACCCTAGCTTGATGCCTAATTATCTTTTCATGTAAATTAATCATGCATAAACCTTAGGCCTGTGATGCCTAAATAGTCTAAACATGTTTAAACAAATTTTATGCTTCTATTCAAATTTATAATTCATCATGCTGGATAATCATGTGGGTAATATATGAGAAAAATTGAGAATTTTGGTTATTTATGAAGTTAATCCCAATTAACTTTTAATCCAAGAGTTAAATTATGTAATCTGATCTTTGTTAATTAGTTTTAGATGTTTATAACCTGTTTCCTATATTACATGTTGGTTAGAACAAGTTTTTATTTGAGAAATATCACTAAATACTTTGAAACGTCAACTTAGAAGTTGACTAAGTCGACTTATAAATCAACTTGCCAGAAGTCGACTTATGCAAAACATAAGTCGACTTATGGGCATTTTTCCAGATTGTTTCCAGTCTGCTTTTGCACTATTTTGAGACGTGTTTGAGGGTTCGAGCCGCACTTTTGTACACGTACATTCACAAATTCACAAGTACAGTGTCGTTACACATACATGGGTATCCCGAAGAGGGTTATGATGAGTTTTGATCTGATTCTTTATTTGAATTAGAGATTGTTTATTCACGGGTTTGGATATCGTTGATGAGCACATCCAGTACTATGTGGGGTAGTACGTTGATATACTTATTGTACAGGCCATTGAGTCGGATTTTAGGAGGTTTTATCTAGCAGTCCGTCCCGCACTAGGGTACGATGAGGCTCGTGAGCCGTATTTCTAGGATGACTATTTGGTAGTCCGTCCTGCGCTCATGTTACACACTGAGTTGCGATAAGACTAATGAGCCGAGTACACAGTTAGAATGCTAATTTGGTAGTCCGTCCCGCATGATACTGTGATGAATCATAACTTGCAAGGATTTGCATGGTCATGATTTCTTAATAGCCTGAGTCCATGGCGGATGCCAGTTATGTATATGACTCACTGCTGAGATATATGACGGAGGTACTTTACTCCTGATAGTTTGCCAGAACTATGATGCTCACATTTATTTTATCTTCCAAGTGATTGTGGAAGATATAATATATTGATGCTTTATTTTCCATATTGCTCTTTTATTTTCTTAGTTGGAATCGATGATTCGCGATTCACAATTTGAGACATATGGTAAATACATGAGGGTTTCCTTATTTGGATTATTTCATTCGACGTACCAGTCTCGTGTTGTGGGTTTCTAATTGTTGATATTATTTAAATTGCTTACTCTTAGTTCGGTAATAATGTTTAGATATCTATAATTTGAGATATATGGTATATACATGAGGGTTTCCTTGTTTGAATTATTTCGTACGACGTACTACGTCTCGTGTTGTCGGTTTCTAAATGTTAATGCCACTTAGATACGAGGAAAATAAATCTAGGAACTAGGTAGACTATGCTTAATAGATAGAGCCTCCACTCCATCTAGTAGGCCTTCCCCTGGAGGCGGATGGAGGTAATCTTGCTGTAGCGCTCTGACGCTCTTGTTTTTGTCCTTTTTGTTGTTTTCTTTTCTTTCAGGCGATACAGAGGTATGGAAAGATGTAGGATGACGGAGTTCTTGCATAGTCGCCGTCACATGAGTTTTAGAGACTCCATAGTAGATCTTTATGATTTCATTCAGACATTAGAGTTTTATTTTCATATTGTAAATGCAGTGTGCCTTAGTATGATTTTCAGTTGATTCATGTTGAGACATTTTTATTATTCAGATATCAGATGTATTTTAGTTGAGGCACGATTTTCATTTATGAGATATCTCTTTCCATATCATGTCTATTGCTTCTATTTTCTTATTATGCCTGTTTTGTACCTGCACTTTTATTTATTTCCACTAGAGGATCAACAAAATCAAGGCTTGGTACCTCTTACTACAGCAAGAGGAGAGATAATGTGGGTACATCCCGACCTTCTCCAAGATGAATATTGGACTCTTTCGAAGTCCAAGTTAAAGGGAAAATGCAAGATGAAGTCTTGTAACGTCATCTCCGCAATCATTGGGCATGAATCCGTATGAATCTCTTCACTTACTTAGAGGAAGAAACAATTATAATGATAGGGACAATGATCAACCTAGACTATTTGAAGAAATATGATCAACCAAGACTCTCTAAGCTACCTGAACTGACCAAGTAGAAAGAGGCTCATTTCAACAAGATTTTGCAAGGTCCCTTGGACAATCCTAAAACTCCATTCCGATAAAATATCATAGCCTAGTTAGCTAATATCCAGGCTTGTATAACCTTGTTCGAACTTTTATATTTTTCTAAGGAAATGAGAGAAGCTTAAAAATAAACTTTAAATGATAGTGAGGCATTTCTTGCTCACATGGTCGAGCCTCCTTAAGATGAAGAATATAATCAGTGTTATCAATACCACTGGTAGCCACCTTGTATCACCTTCAATCCAGATGACAAGCTCATTGAAGACCACCATCACAACCGACCCCACTCCTTTACTATACTGGGTATGTAGAGTCAACGAAGGTCTAGAGGATTCAGATCGACTCAGGCTCTACTTTGAGCATAATCCCACAGAGACTCTTGAGCTTTTTGGGTATTTCCCTTCACAAGCTCTCAAGGACTATTGCCACCATCTTCGGTTTTAACTCTAGCAGTAGCCAATCTCTTAGGAAGATCAGACTTAAATGTCAGATAGGTGATTTAAAGGCTCAAGTGACTTGTTATGTCATCAACATTGAAACACCCTACAACATTCTCCTCGGACAACTGTGGATCCATTCCAACAAGATCGTCCTATCAAAACTTCAATGGTGCTTTAAGTACATCGATGACAAGGGGATTCAACAAAAGATTGATGCTAAAAATCATTCTTTAAGGGGTGGAGAACTACTTTACCAATTCTCACTTGTATGATGATTATCATACAAGCAAGATTGTTCTTCCCAATGATGAAGATAGAGGTAACAAACCAGACAACGAGTCAGATCTAGACGATGATTCGATCTGAGAAATGTAACCACTTGTAATTACCCTCAAGAAACCATGTACTAAACAATCAATAGAAAATTAGGCGACTAGATCTTTAATGAAGTTGAGTTTACTTATGATTATTCTTTAGACTTTCAGTATGAAAGCCCAAGAGTCGAAGCTTCAATGTCTAAGCTAGTTATAGAACCAACTCTGTACATGCCTACAAATAAGTCTTCCTCAACTTATCAACAACTAGGTGATTCAAAGGATGCCACTTCGTGGTCCAAGCCAAAGGAGGTGCCTGAGATCCTATTGTCTTCGGAAGGGTTGAGTCACAATCAAACTTAGCAAGCTTAGATGAGGAAGCCAAAGGAGTTTCAAAGTTCTCTCGTTATAGCCATCAATCTCAGCATATAATGGCAAAAATAGGGTATGACCTCCCTCTAAAATAAGGATTGAACTTTAAACAAGGACCGAGAGTTCCTCTAATCCCCTTCATACTAGAAGGAGAGGCCTTCAATTATTATAATCGAACTAAACGTTGACTCAGGCACATTTTCTCAAAAGACAACTCATAAATAGGACCACCATCTAATGACTTCATAAATAGCTCTTTAGGCACGTCATTTTTGGATTCTGACATTAGCATTGGAACCATGTTCGGTGAATTCGCTGTTAACATGGTTTCGTACAGTTTAAC